CGGCTTCCAAGCCGTCCAAGCCGAGGCTATCGCCGGTTGGAGTATACTACGAACTGCAAGTACGCGCTGTCAGGCTATACTCGCTTTGACAGACGTCATATATGGCTCGCTGCACTGGTATGCGTAGCGTGGGTAGAGGTAAGAAGTATTGAGAAGGTTCACAGGTTTGGGAGCCCCAGCAATCTAAAGCAAGGAAATCTGAAAATCATGCAGGCTTGCAGCCAGCTTTCCAGAATCGGCCATCACCATGGCCAGAATGGGGACGCCACCAGGCAGCGTCTGCAGAGTCTACAGGGAGTGTTCCCACAAATGAGCGTGATCTCATCGGATGCTTCTGCAAGTCTCATTGAGTCCTTTGTCTATCTGACTGCAAGTGTGAGATAGTGCGAGGCAGGCAAGCCTGAGACAGAGCCCAAAAACTTCCCAGCAAGCGTCGTGCTCTCCAGAACTCTCGTGCGTTTGGGCCTTGGCCTGCCCTGCCTTGTCATCCGATGTCCGGACTGCGTGCGAGTCTTGGACTGAGGCCGACCTCCGAACAAAGGATGTGGTGAAGACGGGCGGGAGCCACTTGACGATCCTGATCAATGGTCAGACGGAGCCGGAAGTCTCTTGCCATGTTGGGCATGTTGGGCCGGCTGATCCCTGCTCAACAAGAATATCATTCAAAATATCATCTTTTGAGATCCTTGATGAATTGTATGTTGCTCTGCCAAAGGTACCTGTAAGGGGATGTTGCGATTGAAAGGTTAGGGCGATTTGGGATTGCTCATCGAAGATGGGGTATGTGTGCTGGCTGCGCAGGAGATGTCAGCGAGGAGGAGGATGATGAAGGCAAATTGTTCCATATGAAGCTCGCCCTTTTGCAGATCTTGATTGATTCAGTTTCGCATGAATCAACACATAAACCCACAGGCAAGCTTGCACATACATGCAAGCCGACATCAGACCTTTCCTAGCACACGTGCATCTATAGAAAGTTTATGCAAGACAAAAGCGCAATGCAAACATGGACTTGTACATTAATAGGGCATTTCAGCATTTCTCTTCTTCACTGACCTCAATTCTTGATGTTGGACGAAACAAAGGAGCAACTGCATTACCTCCAAGGTTATGAAAAACTTGCAGCCACAGACTGGGCCAGGTCAAAATATTTATTTTTTCATTTTTTTATCATTTTGGTTATCATTGCATTCATCATTTTTTTTATCATTTATTTTATCATCTTCATTTTTTTAATCATTTTTTTTATCATTTTTTATCATTTTTTTATCATTTTTTTTTATCATTTTTTATCATGTTTTTTTTATCATTTTTTTTAATCATGTTTCATCATTTTTGCTTCCAGTGGTGCAAAAATTTTCCAAGAAATGGAAAATTACAATTTTCCTCGAGTTTTTTTCATGTTTTTATCATTTTTTTTCATTTTTTTAAATCATTTTTCATCATTTTTTTATCATTTTTGCTTCCAGTGGTGGAATTGATGCAAAATGATAAAAAAATGATGAAAAATGATGAAAAAAATGAAAACAACTCGAGGAAAATTGCAATTTTTCATTTTTTGGAAAATTGCAATTTTCCTCGTTTTTTTTTTCATTTTTTTCATTTTTTTATAATTTTTTTTTATCATTTTTCATCATTTTTTTATCATTTTTCATCAATTCCACCACTGGAAGCAAAAATGATCCACCACTGGAAGCAAAAATGATTAAAAAAATGATTAAAAAAATGAAAAAAACCCGAGGAAAATTGTAATTTTCCATTTCTTGGAAAATTTTTGCACCGCTGGAAGCAAAAATGATGAAACATGATAAAAAAATGAAAAAAATGGAAAAAAATGAAAAACATGAAAAAAAATGAAAAAAACTCGAGGAAAATTGTGATTTTTCATTTTTTGGAAAATTGCAATTTTCCTCGTTTTTTTTTCATTTTTTTTCATTTTTTAATCATTTTTTTTTCATTTTTTTTTCATTTTTTTATTATTTTTCATCATTTTTTATCATTTTTCATCAGTTCCACCACTGGAAACAAAAATGATAAAAAAATGATAAAAACATGATAAAAAAATGAAAAAAACTCGAGGAAAATTGTAATTTTCCATTTCTTGCAAATTTTTGCACCACTGGAAGCAAAAATGATGAAAAATGATAAAAATAAAAAAAATTAAAAAAAAATGAAAAAAAATTAAAAAAAATGAAAAAAACTCGAGGAAAATTGCGATTTTTCATTTTTTGGAAAATTGCAATTTTCCTCGAGTTTTTTTTCATTTTTTTTTCATTTTTTTACATTTTTTTTTTCATTTTTTTATCATGTTTCATCATTTTTTATCATTTTTCATCAGTTCCACCACTGGAAGCAAAAATGATAAAAAAATGATAAACAAAATGAAGAAAACTCGAGGAAAATTGTAATTTTCCATTTCTTGGAAAATTTTTGCACCACTGGAAGCAAAAATGATGAAAAATGATAAAAAAATGAAAAAAAATGATAAAAAAATGAAAAAAAATGAAAAAAACTCGAGGAAAATTGCAATTTTCCAAAAAATGAAAAATCACAATTTTCCTCGAATTTTTTTTTCATTTTTTAATCATTTTTTTTCCATTTTTTTTTCATTTTTCATCATTTTTTTAATCATTTTTCATCAATTCCACCACTGGAAGCAAAAATGATAAAAAAAATGATTAAAAAATGAAAAAAATGAAAAAAACTCGAGGAAAATTGTAATTTTCCATTTCTTGGAAAATTTTTGCACCACTGGAAGAAAAAATGATGAAAAATGATTAAAAAAAATGATAAAAAAATGATTAAAACAATGATAAACAAATGATTTAAAAAATGATTAAAAAAATGATAAAAAAATGATAAAAAAAATGATAAAAAAATGAAGATGATAAAATAAATGATAAAAAAATGATGAATGCAATGATAACCAAAATGATAAAAAAATGAAAAAATAAATATTTTAAAGATTTCCAATGTGTAGCTGGCTCGGTTCTTCATAACTCCAAGGATTTCATCCAAAGCTCAGATAGAACTGACATCAGGTGAGCGCACTGTCTGGGAGCGAGCTCAACGTGAAGGGGAGTAGGGAACACAGTGACTCCAGCATTTCGACTAAGATGGGAAGAGCTTCCAAGCACTTTCAAGTTTAGCCGAAAAGGCAGGACATCGAAGGAATGTGACTGTGAACGATGTGCGAACCTCTGTTTGCTGAGGCAGTATCTTCCTCAGCGAGTGCTGGAGGCGCTTTGGTCTGCAATGATCCCTGGCCGCCACTGGGTGAGATGTTGCATCAAGGCTTTGACAACACACGTAAGAAATGTATGCGTTGATATGATGATGTGCGGATTGTAGATCTCGCAGCGGATATGTCACCAGGGACTTCTTCCTGAAGCACTTTTGAAGACATATCGATTTTACCAGTTCCAATCTCAGCAGCATCAGCAGCACTCTGGACTCTGAATCCAAGAGACTGATCTCAGATTGCTGAAACGACTTACTGAAACAGCCTCTACGTCACGTGAGCCACGTGGCCTTTTCCTCATCCTTCGCTCACTGACCTGTGCACAGTACCTTTAGGATCCTTCAGGATTCCATGAGCAAATCAAGGACGCGAAACTCGAACCCCAGGAGATTTTAGCAGTAGATTGCATATATACATATACATATACATATATATATATATACATATATATATATATACACATATAATTACATATTAGCGCAGTTTGTGCGCTTTTGAGCTTTTGACAGGCAACTGCGTCATGCCAGAGTTGTTTGGAGTCCTCATGTGGCTAACACTCTTTAGCGCGGTGAGGAATCCTTCCCCACACGAAAGGACAACCATTTTTTAGAGCAGCAGAAAAGAGGCATTGCAACAATTTAACATGAGAGAAGACGGCCCTGCCCTCGCTCTGGAAGTGTTTCTTTTATTCTTTGGTTCTTGCTGGTTTCAGACGCTCTTTTGGCCACGTCCATCGAGCCTCTTTCATGTGCTCTCTCCAGGCATTCATGTTGCTTGTTCCTACAACTAATTCCAGGCTATTGTCTCTGTTCTAGCCTTTTTTGACCACCTCTTGATTCACCTCTGAGTCTTACAAATCATCAAAAACCAACGGTTTGCCTTATGCAGCAATTTATGCACCATGCCTTTGCCCCAATGAAATCTAGTAGCACCTCTGCTGACCAAGTATTTCTCATCCCCAAAACAAATCGGGTGTAAATGACAGATCGCTGTCCTTTCCATCCCTTGACAGCAGGAGCAGTAAGTAGACTTTAGACTATTAAGATCTATGAAGATCTAGTAAGATCAGAGCTTATCCATGAAAAGCGGGGGAGATCTAAGACTCTTGTTCAACTTTATGCCGGTGCTCTTCTAACATCTCGCTGTTTACATGATTCCAACTCTTGCAGCTTTGCCACGCTTTGCCGTATGTGTCATTCTTCTTCACTTGAAGCCATGCCCAAAGATCTTTGCCAAGGACAAATTCATGGCCGCATCGCGTGATCCACGGCTACAAGGCACTTACAGGGTAGTTGGACCATGGCTCATAGTTCGCCGTGGTAAAATATGTAGTTTTAATCATTTTTTGGGTTATGATGGGGTGGGGTGGGGTCGCGGGCCTAATAACGTCCTGTTGTTGCATCCGCACAGGCGCGTCTTCTTAGGGTATCATAGCTACGTCATGGTACACGTGATGGTGTACGTCTGCGGGTGCTACACTGGTACTACGTCTGTACACTACGGATGCAACGTTACGGATGCTATGCTGGTACTGCGTCTGCACGCTACGGATGCTACGCTGGCACCACGTCCCTGCACGCTACGGATGCTATGCTGGTACCACGTCTGCACGTTAGGGATGTCCCTTGGCGAAAAAACTTGGGACACTTGAAGCTGTCCCTTTCTTGCGCCAGTTGACCAAAATTTGGTGAAGATGCGACCAGTTTACTCGCATTTTGCAGAGAAGAAAAAAGTGCATTTTTGCAGACATCGACCACAGAAACCCAAGTAGTTGCTATGGTATGATTGCGGCATATACATCATCAGAATGTCATTCTGACCCACCGCGAAATATGAGCCCACGGCGAAATATGAGCTGTGAACCGGGTAGTTAGAGTACAATATAGTGACTTAAATCAATATTTCAAGAAAAAATACATATATATATATAAATATATATATACTATATATAGTATATATATATATACATACAGATTTGTATACATACAGACACAACCATTCACAAAGATATTATAGTCATAGTAAATTTGATGGAATGTGTATATATATAGTTATATATATAGTACATACATACATACTTATACATATATATGGTACCTCCCTCCAATAACGATAAAAAATGTGGCAGTAGTTTCAAGAGGGCGTGCCATATATACTGTACATATAAATGTAGTGTAGCAAGCATGCTATTTAGCTTGATTCAGCTTAGCTTTAATGATAACATTTTGGGAAGAATGCATTCAGAATGCATTCCCTGCTAAATCTAAGATCTAAGATCTGCGATTCACCCAGGACTCCTGAGCCAATCTTAGAGTTTCCTAACGAACATCAAAAAATCTAACCTAAGATTGCCCCAAGACCCCAAAGCAAATCCCAGATCTTGGAATTCTCAATGCATTCCTGCACTCAGGCTGTCATGTCATCTGGTCTGTGTGCCTTGATTCCTTTCTTGCTTCTTGAGTGAAATCCCTGCTCTCAGCAATCAAAACGCCCGCTTCTGCCTTTCTTTCTATCATGGCATTCTCCGCTGGTTCAATGTTGAGGGGACGGTGAAGATGCACAGCAGCATGGCCGTGTTGAGCGAGGCAGAGATCAAAATTACAATGACTTGGCCACCGACACAGGAGGTGCTTGATAAAATTGAGGCAGAAACCTTGGTGGCACATGCGGTCCGACAACTTCTCCAGAAGAAAGAAAGATGTGACCACCATGATGGGGACGATCCAGCGGCAACTTGTCTCCAACCCGGGGGGATGGCGGATGGAATGAGAAAAGCTGCTCTGCTAAGCAGTTGGCCTTGGAAGGTAAGAAACCATCATCTTCCAGCTCGAGCTCAGACTCGTCATCCTCGAACCCTGACAGCCCATCAGCCGGGGCTCCCCAAGCACAACACTTCCCACCACAAGATGCTCAACAAGATGCTACCATGGATCGTGAAGTTGCCCCCAAGCACAACGCTTCCCACCACAAGATGCCCAACAAGATGCTACCATGGATCGTGAAGTTGCCAAGGGCAAACTGGAGGAGAAAACCACCAAAATGCAAACCTTGAAGCATGACTTTGAAGGCATGAGCTGGAGAAGGCAAATGCTCGGATTGATGACCAAAAGAGGCTCATTGACGGCCTGACAGAGGAGAATGTCACCTTATGTGGTCAGGAGGTATAGGGCCATGGCAAAGGGGGTCATCACAGGTGTCGTGCCGAAACGTGGGAAGTTTCGCCGTGTTCACAAAAGACGAGCTTGCAACAAGTCCAAGAAGCACAAGCAGGTGAGATGGTCATCAATCCCTCATTGCTGGAAAAGTACTTTACGCCGCACGCTGCGTCAAGGTCTTCCTACCTCTACACCCCTTGTTGCAAACCTCCTCTGGAAAGCAGTATCGGCCCCTGTTCAAGCGGCCTTGCTCTTTCTTCTCCTTGTCGGCGCTTCTCACCCTCAATGCCGGCTACTTTTGGGAGCCAGCCACAAAATGACCGAGGGTATGTCTGTTCGCTTGACTAGCTTGTGAAAAGCGTCCGTGGAAGCAGCCGAGAAGAAACTGATCATTGGAGATGGTAGGCGTTGGATGATGCTGAAGCTGATGAAGCAACCTTCACCGAGCACATGTCAACAGAGATGTAACCTACAAGGACGCTGTATCCAAAGGCAAGTGCGTCCTGTGGGAGCAATGGAGCGGTCTGCTCGTCCGAGGGAAACCTGAGATGTTGATCTTGATAATGCTGACTCCTACACTTTCAGTCAGACCAGCACCTGGCCCCGATGCGATCCACAAAGCCGACCGGACACCCAGTGCTGAACAGCACCCCAAGGATCGGAAAATCGTGCCCCACACAGATTCTGCCAAGAGCTAGAAGTCGAAAGCGCGAGGAGTTCTACACGACTCGGTCGTCCATTGCAAGAAGAAGAGAATGCAGAAAGGCAAGGTCACGTGGTCCGCACCTCGGTATGTCCGAGTAGTGTCTCACAAACTTCCGCGCGGCAAGACTGTTCAAAGCCGGAACCCAGCACATTGACCGTGCATGGCGTTTATGAAAGAGCGGCGTTTGAACCAAAAGGTCAAAGCGGGCACTGGATCGGACCTGTGGCTGAAGATGGCCATGTCTGCATACCTGACAAAGCCACAGGCTCTTCTGATTACTTGGCATGACGCGGATGGAGCTACAGAGGATGCCCTTTGCTCTGCACTCTGCAGCCACCCGGGTTGTTTCCGTGCCGTCTTGCATGCGCATCGCCAAAAACAATCAAAATGTGCCTTCACATTGCTCTCAAACCTGCTAGACACGATCTGTTGCTATCTTCAGAACGTGTTCTCAGGACATTGTGGTCAACATCAAGAATTGACAGCAGGTCTGGTCTTGAAACCGTGCATACGACATACGACCTTCAAAAACTCAAAGCGTTGTTCATCGTGTGAGCATGATTGGTCTTGCTGCACCTTCGGCCGCCTTCACAAATTCTTTGCGACGTTCGGAATGTGACTCTGTCTGTTCTGCCTGCTTTTGCTCATATCATGTGCTTGTCAATGTCACACGTTCAACGCACTCTTCCCAATATTGGCTCACGAGTCCTGGCAAAATCTTAGATCTTAGATTGTGCAGGGAATGCATTCTGAATGCATTCTTCCCAGACTGCTTTCATTGGGGTACCATATGAATATATACAGATACATACATATATATGCTTATATATATATAAATACACATAAATATATATATATATAGATATAATACATATATATATATATACACACATATATATATATACATACACATCAATATGACTGTGTACATATATGTATGTATGTATGTATACATGCATCTTGATACACACACACATATATATATATACATGTGTGATATATATATATATCTATGCATGTTTTTACTCACAGACATATCTGTATATGAATATTTTTCACATATATTTTTTCCCAGTTACATATATATATATACATATATGTTTATACATACATGCATGCATACATACATACATACAGACATACATACATACATATATGTATATACATATATATATATGTTGATACATATACACATATATTTATGTGTATACGTATATATATACATTTACATACATACATGTACAAATATATTCACATATATATGTTTATACATATATATGTAAAAATATATATTTATATATATATACATATATATATATATGTATATATATATGTATATATATATATATACAGAAAAAAATACATGTATAGACGTATACATATATATACACATGTATATACGTACATATATATATACATATTTATGTATATATATATTTACGTATATACATTATATATACATGTATTTATATATGTACATATGTAAATATATATTTATTTAGGCATATGTATTTATGTATATATAATTTATTTGCACACACATATATATATATACATACATATATATGTATATATATATTTACATTTCGATGTACATATTTACATTTATATGTACATATATATATGTCTACACACATATATATACATATATATGTATACTCATATTTATACACTTATCTTTATACACACATATTTATAGACACATTTTTTATACATTTATCGAAGGAAGTAGAAGTCAAACTTCCGACAATATGGACAGATGAAAAGCAAAAATTAAAAAAAATAGTGAGGTCGTCTGAAAAACGGAATTAGTGTGACGACGTTTTCCAGGTTGAGGTCGTTGCACACGCTTTGCCTGTATGTATGTATATATATATATAGTGTCCAAGTAGTAGGTACATAAATCCATCCGCCAGTATCATGATCCCATCGCTTTCTTTCCAACATCCTTTTCATCCCTCCCCCCTCACCACATGTGGAGGTACCTGTTTTCGCAGGTGGTAGCCGTTTTGGATGTTGAGGAATCCAGCATGGAGAAAGGGAACATCATGATGACAGAGCGATCTGTGGATGCATTCCGCCGTTTGAAAGGAGAATGTGAAGAAAACAAAGCAGATGGTGAGAAGAGCCAGAAGAAGAAGAAAGGCGGCGCATACCCGAAAGTCATGGGTGAAAGATAAAAAAGATATAAACACCCTTTCCAATCAGTGACAGCTACAGGCATTCCAGCTAGCGGCCCATCTAGGAGACAAAACAAAGGTATTTATCAAAAAGGGTGGTCCTTTACTAAATCCACATTCTAACTGTCTGTTCAACACCACTAGTGGCTGAGTGTGTCCTCTTTTCCCAGAAGCCTATCTACCTCAGGTATGTGTCCAAAATCACCATTTTTGTACCGGAAAGTCATGGGTGAAAAATAAAAAAGATATAAACATCCTTTCCAATCAGTGACAGCTACAGGCATTCCAGCTAGCGGCCCATCTAGGAGACAAAACAAAGGTATTTATCAAAAAGGGGGATCCTTTAGTAAAGCCACATTCTAACTGTCTGTTCAACACCATTAGTGGCTGGGCGTGTCCTCTTTTCCTAGAAGCCTATCTACCTCAGGTATGAGACCAAAAGCGCGATTTTTGTACGGGAAACTCACTTTTGTCAAGGATATCGAATGGGGAAAGCGAGTAAAAGTGCCTTTGGGCTGCCTGTTGGTTCATTGAAACTTTTCATGGAATCTTTACCCAGACCTGCAAAATGCACAAAAAACATGTAATATTCTCAATCAGGTGCATTCATATGCCCAGCCCAGAACCTCCAAGTACCCATAAAAATTGCTAAAACTATGAACATTATCTGGTAAACTACCTTTTCTATGGTGACTTGGAGGGTCTAGGATATATATGCGTTTCTGCCTGGAAAAACATATGCCCTTGGAGGCATTCTAACTGTTGATTGCCGAATAGCTTCATCCTAGGTGGGGGGGAGGCATTCTAAGTTCTGAAATGCTGGTAAAATGCAATTTTCCAGTTTTGCCGGTGTGGCCTGACTTTTCCAAACGGGCATTCTAAGTTTCAGTCCGTCGATATATATATATATATACATATAGATAGATAGAAAGATAGATAGATAGACCGATAGATAGATGGATAGATAAATAGATAGATAGATAGGTAGAAAGATACATAGACAGACATATACATAGATAGATAGAGAGAGATAGATAGAGATAGAGAGAGATAGAGATAGATAAATAGATTAGATTAGATTTGATTTGCTTAGATTAGATTAGATAGATTAGTTAGATAGATAGATAGATAGATAGATAAATAGATAGATAGATAGATAGATAGAGAGATAGAGAGATAGAGAGATAGAGAGATAGATAGAGAGCGAGAGAGAGATAGATAGATAGATAGACAGATAAAATTAGATTAGATAAGATTAGGTTAGACTAGATTAGATTAGATAGATAGATAGATAGACAGATAGATAGATAGATAGACAGATAGATAGATAGATAGATAGACATAGATAGATAGATAGATAGATAGATAGATAAACAGATAGATAGATAGAAATATAGATAGATAGGTAGATAGATAGATAAATAGATAGATAGATTGATAGATACATAGATTGCTGGCCACATAGATAGATAGATAGATAGATAGATAGCTAGGTAGGTAGGTAGGTAGGGAGGTAGGTAGGTAGGTAGGTAGGTAGATAATCAGAGAAAGAGAGAGAAAGAGAGCAAAAGAGAGAGAAAAAGTGAGAGAGATCAATCACCTTTCAGTCCATCAGTGGCTTCGCTCTGCCATCCCTGATTCACAACAACCAACCTCTCCTATAGGTTTCCTATTTTTGAAACTTCCGCCACCGCCTTGTGCGGTACTACTGGTAAACATACAGACATTTATACATTTACATATGTATACATACATACACGCATACAAACATACATACATCCATACACACATAAATTTATCATGAAACATGAACGAAATCGTGAAACATCAGAGAAACCTGGGTCAAGATGGGCAAGTAGCCAACCAACAGATCCCATCTCTTTTGTGTTTCCCTCATGTTGCCTGTGTCTGTGTCAGTTGAACGAGCAGAAAGAGGAAGAAGAAGAATCTGGGACTCCGCAACATTTTGTGGAGGCTGGATGGCAATGATGTCAGTCGGTCTGAACGATTTGAAAACTTGTTGATCTGTTGGCCTTAAACATAAACACAAGTAAAACACGTAAAAACATCCTTCGATCAGAAAAAAAACTGTTCAGAATTGACAGCAACTGCTTCACCTTGACCTTGTCCAGAGAGATGGACTGTGAACGACTGCATTGAGGCATTTCACCAATTTAACCAAGTATGTGTCGTGTGTTTGCTTGTCCCATTTTTTGTTGGCCCCCTGTGCCTTGTAGAACCTTTTAGCCTGGGCGCTGAGGCGGTCCAAGTTTTCAATGATATTTTCATTCCGGGTTTGACAGCTTCTCTAAGTCTGCCTGTTCTGTTCTGCTTTGGTAAGTCACAAGTCGAGCATGGCTTCAGTCGAACCGCGGTCGAACCCTCCGTTTGTTGCCCTTTACAAGTTTCGATCCTCCTGAACTAATTCCCTTTCTCGAACGGCCAAGCGCTCCATTTCACTCCCTATGCATCCTTCTGCCTTTTTCAACCCCATCTCGCTGTGAACCCCGTTGAAATTGCTCTGGCAAGTCCCTTTTGGAAAGGGTGAAATTGATTTTCACATTAGGTTTACACACCATTTTGCAAACGTGAGTGACAGGTTCGGCTTGTGAAGAGTGCATCAGTTATCCCAACAAGGACACCGGATTGCTGGTATTGCCTGATATAAGTTGTTGAGGAAAAGGCGAAGACAGACAAATCCTGTACCATTGATAGGAGGTTCAATGCTCTCTAGTGACTTCCCGAGGTGAGTCTTTCAAAATGTTGACGTGCCCCCAAATTGTTTGCTTTTTGAGGAATTATGTGCTTGTTTTGTCAGTTGTAGTTATGTCATTATCTAGAGTGCAGGCTCGGAACAGACCTATCAAAACCGCTGACTCAGGTTATTTGCGCCATCACTTGGCGGTATTTGTCCGTCGCTAAACGTCGAAACATTTTTGGGCCCTTGCAACAGTCGTGGCTCATGAGCCAGCCATGCCAGGCAGACCAGAACAACGTCTCGCGTCTTGCTACCGTACCGTTTATTTCTTCTCAACCGCTTCTTCTCAAGGCATTTTCCTCGCGTTCTCTTACAGAAGTTGCGGTCAGGACTCGAGGTTGGCAAGCAACTGTTGCACTGCATTGTCAATTGCTCAGTTTACTCAGCAGCAGCGCAGTCCCATCAGAGATTTCACTTTGAAATAGCCAACTACTCAAGGTCCTGGCCGACCAACGTACTACTTGCTGAACTTGCTCTACGTCGCTTACACAAACTTAGACAACGTTGCATAAGATTGCGCCGGGTTGAGAACTGTGTCGCGCTGGGTTCCGGGCCATGTGACTTCACTTCACTCTCTTTGCTAAATGATGGCTATATATGCAAGCTGACCGCTGAGAGAACATTGCCCAGGCTTCGGAGGGCACGTGCAGTGCTCAGGGAATGCTAAATCTTGGCAGAGATTTGGCGGGAGAAAAGGTGGAGACTATTGTGGACAGATGAGAAGATGGACCTGTGTAGAGATGCGATGATTTCACATCTCAAGCAGCACATCTTAGGCCCTTGCACTCGTTGGCCCGCACTCTCACCCGCTTTGAGGAGGGATGAGCGACTGTACGTCCAAACTTTTCTCCAACTGTTTGCCTAAAATCTGTTCGCAGACTTGGCAGACTCGCAATTCAATGAGGACTTGTCCCACATCCTTGCTTGGACCAGCAATGACCTCGGCAACTTTTAAGCACTCGGATTCTTGCTGTCTTGGGGCCACAGAGCATTCTTTGAGCTTTGCTGGGCTTCTTGTAGCCACCGTCTATGAGTAATTTGCATTCATTTACTTTATTTGCTTCTGGATTTTCTGGCACAGGATGCTTGGCCGGGCTTGAAGTTTGCTGCAGTTTGCTGAAGCTTTTGCTTGATGCTCGCTGCGGCTGCACAAGAAGTCGTTGCCATCGTTGCCAGGTTGCATCGCATTGCATCGCATTGCATCGCTGGCCGCAGGTCTAGGCTCAGACACGGTAGCTCTCTTAGGAGCCTATCCTGTCTCAGCCTGGACACCTGCAGCATCCTCAGCGAGTTCATCAATGCACTTGGCAAGATCATTTTCACAATATTACAAAATCTTATTGTCAGCACTCCTCACAAGTTGTATGTCTTCATGTCAAGCTGGGAGGCCAACGTAGCTTTTTGCAGCTGCCTTTTGCCACAAAGTTGACACAATGGTGTGGCCCTAAACCCATGGCATCGACACGGTACTCGCAAGCTATGGAACGTGTGCATAGTTCATAGCACACAACACCAATGTGTCTCAATGATGCTATATGGAAACTCTATTGGCTTCCCGATTAAACACAACCAATTTTGGATGGGTTTTTGGTTCTCCCATTTTACGAAATCCTCATACGTGTGTCCTCTGTATGGAAGACAGCCATACGGAGTGTGTTTGATGCTGTAGTGACTACTGCAGTAGTTTTTAGGTCCATTTTTAGGTTGCTGTTTGTCAGTGTTTGCCACTTTCAACACCAAGTCCCAAGGTGCAGCTGCAATTCTTCTTAGGGCTGACCTTGCTGCTCTCGGCAAGCTCAAGCCCAATCACCAAGGCGGGAGGATAGACTGCTACGCATGGCAGCTACTCATGTCAAAAGGTTTGCTTCATCAAATGGAGGGTGATCACCAAAATAGGGGTCAATGGGTTCTGGACATGTAATGGGCATGGAGAAGTACACATACCGTTTACATTGTATACTTTGCAGTTTTTGACTAACTGCAGAACGTAGTCGCGATTGCAAAATATTGCCTCTGCATTGTTTGGTTATATAGGTTTGTGTCCTTATTTAAGATATGTATGATGTAGAGTGTCGTGCTCAATCTTTCAAAAGGCTTCATGCCAGCCCCTTGCAAAAAAAGACGCTTTTGACTTTGCAGATGGGTGGGGGGGACTCCTGGCATCTGCAGAGGAGGTACCTTTGACATTTTTTTACAGTACTTGTGCAATTAGCCATGGCGCTGCACATACATTTTTTGTTTGCCGCGTTCTTTCAGGGGCATATCTGACAAAACAGCCAGTGAATGCCAGTGATGCTTTGGACAACAATCTTTCGATATCTTTCTTCTCGACTTCGGCTGTCCGGATTTGTCCAGTCCATGCCCTTAAGTAGCCTTAGCAAATGGAGATTTGCAGGTTCTGGAGCTCCTGGGAGACATGCAGGCACCACGCGCACAACGTTGCAGCGGAGTTCCCTTTCCAGCAAAACTTAAGCACCGCAATGGTGATCCTTTCATGTTTTGCATGCAGACATAGGCGGACGTTTTCTGCAGTTGAACAGCAGACCTTCGCGTGAAGGCAAAAGTAAAGAAAGAAGCCTCTGAAGCAGAAGAAACTGTAAAGGCATGGGACGCATGTTGAACTGAAGCCAAGCAGACTTCCTGTGGACAGAGCTGTTTTAGGTCACCCATATTTTGCAGGGCATACGAGAGTGTCATGTTGGATCATATCCAGACTTCCAGGAACAAGATCTGTTTTGCGAGCGAAGAGCTAGCGATCTAGGCCGCTTCGAAATTCCGCAAAGCACCCAATGAAGTTGTGCATTTTGCTTGGGGCTTCATGGAACGAATGAAGCAACAGGCTATTCTATCCAGACAAACAAGAATGCCAAAGAGGAGCTAGAAGCAAGGACCTCTTGCCATGTCCGTGTGGTTGGATCTGTTTTGTTCTCAACTGAGTCAAACCATGTCAAACTCCTAGGCTCTTAGAGTCACCACTGTCAGGATTTCAAAAGCGGAAGGGAAGATAGAGACTGTTGGAGAAAGCGTAGAGGACTGGAAATGGGCCCTGCCACGAGTAAGATTTGCAAAATCTCATCGCCCTGCCCAGGAAGCTCTTTCTGGAATCCAAGCCAATGAGGCACTGTGAATGTTGGCCTTTCCTAAGAGCTGTGAGCTTTCTTCTCTGCCTGTAGGCTAATCTGGAGTCAGCTACGAATCTGCGCAGTAAGGCGTGCAGTTGTTGTGTTGTTGAGTTGAGATTGATCTTGTAAAGTGCGCAACTTCTTTGTCTTAAGACAAGTGGTCCAGACTTGCAGAACTTGTTATGCTTCAAGGAGAAGGCTCAATTTGTAGCGGCGCAGAAGGCACTGGACAGAGTTGCGGCATGTTGTGGCTTTACAACCTTGCAATACCTTGCACAGCAAGCACTTTGTTTATTTTTGTTTGCAGATCCAGATCAAGGGAATGCGTTGCCTCTTTCAGGACTTGATGGACACCATGGAATCTATGAAGAAAGCGGTCAGAGTGTTGGAGAGTGAGGCCATATCTTCTCAAATTGACGACATGCGGCACTCACTGCATGTGCTCGGGCAGCAATGAGCACTCTGCAGGAACCTGTCCTGCATTCGGAATATCTTACAACCATCATGTTCTATCGCAAGAGTTGCAGATACTTTCTATGCGCTTTAAGTCCCAGCAGACTCTTGCATATTATGTTTTTCGCTTCTTCGTTTTGCATGATCTTGCTTTGGTTCGAGGCAGCAAAGGGGACTGGAGCATCTGCATCACTGCTGCAGGTGCAGAAGGCCAATGACGTCGGATCAATTTAAGACAGACAGAGGTTGTGTCCCTGTAGTCCCTTGTGAAATCGTTGAGCATGTCCGCTGTTTTCAGTTCTACAAATATGATGCAATACTTTGCATACTTTTGCTGCGCCTTGAATCGAGCATTGAATGCCTTGTTCTGTAAAGATGTCTGCTCACCACGTACTCAACCCTACTCCGTCACTATACGTCACTCCATGCGCTCAGATGCGCTCAGTGTGTTTTGCGCCAAGTTTCTAGGCACCCGACGTGCTGGCTGCAATCGATGCTATGGTTTCCAGCGCAATGATCGGTGCAGCAGCTGGGCATGTCTCGAAGAGTTAAACCAAAACTGGAAAAAACAGAACATGACAAGAACATAATGTAAATGTAGATAACAGAATGTAGATTTTAACAAAGACAATGTAGATTCTACTGGGAGCTTAATGCAAAACCAGTCATTTACCACTGCTAAAGACAAGACCAAACTCAAATTCACTCTTACTTCATCGCTCTTCACATTGAAACAAGGGTGGTTCAGAACAATCCCCTTCGTATCTGAGTTAGAGCGTCCTCAGCTGAGGCTGATGCAGATGGCCTGGGCCCTGTGTTAGCTACATTGAGGATACTGAGCAAGAGCAATTAGAAAAGATTTGTGGATTCAATACATTTGTATACATTTGTCATGATTTGCCGTGAATGCATTGAATCATATTGAATTAAGAATTCCCAAGTTATCGACATGGCATGAGATGTGCCTCCGACGCGGTGCTCCTGAGCTTGGCATTTGCAAGGCCTCACGGCTTTCATGCAAAGCTCCGAAGAGGCCCATGGGCTGTGAGTCGCAGTGAGACAGAGAAAGTGCCCAGGCAGTGCACGGGGCAGTGCGGCAGTGCAGCAGTGCGGCAGTGCGGCACTGCACGGGTGCTTGTCGTATCTGATCATTAGAGTCATTAGAGGCATCCGACATTCAAGCGCCACCAGTCTACGAGAGCAAGAGTGGCAGCATTGTCCGAAGCCTAAGAGCTCCCCCCCGAGGTGAATTTTTTGCAAAAAAATCTAGCCATGTTGAAGCATCTAGTGAAGTACAGTATCTCCGAAGTTTTTTGAAGCATTCTGCATATTCTGCATTCTGCAATATTTTGGATCTTGTGCCAATTTGTGCCAATTTGTGCCAACTTGTGCCTGGTGAATTGGTATCAGTTTTCCAAGGTTGAGATGCTGGAAGACCTTCAGGACAAGGCCAACTCTGAACTGAACGAGCTTCGAGCCAAGGAGGTGCTCAAACAGTCCAGACATGTCCACTGCCAGACACCGACAGAAGCAGTCGTCTTTGTTGCATTTTTTTCATGTTCCATTTGCGATGGTGCAAAGACCAGTTTTTTGGGTGAACCTGTTTGTAAGACTGTTAGTGGTCTAGATCTGAAGGTCTTTCCTGCCTTTGCCCTGTAGCCGTTTTGCTTGGCATTTGCTCTGAAAGGAGTCTGCTCGTCATGCTTTTGAGATGTTGCAGCAGTCCCTTCAAGATCAGATTGAGTTCGCCAAGGACGAGGCGCATCACATAATGCATTACATCCCTACAATATCCATTGCCATGGATATCCTAGGATATTGAACCCACAAGGGGAACAGCGTTGAGTTTGGATTTCGAGCAGTGCAGTGGAATGTTGTCAAGTTTCAAGCATTTACAAGCAGAGACTGGATGAACATGGACGAACCGGGGGTTGACATTTTGAGGGACAGGAGAGCTGAAATTGGCAGCTTGAAAGCAGGAGCCAGAATGACGAAAGTGCAGCATTGCGAGAAGTCAACTATTGATGCAATTTTTGAGTCAACGATGGACGGATTGCGTTTGTGATTGAATCGGTGACTGAGTCATCAAGGGGATCTTGAACAAGTTGAACAAGTTGAACACGTTGAACAAGTTGAACAAGTTGAACACGTTGAACACGTTGAACAAGTTGAACATAAGCACGTTGAACACGTTGAACAACTCGCAAAATGTGGTTTGGAAGGGATTTTCAATGCCACCGAGCCCCAGACAATGATACCGCGCACACACACACACACTGGCAGCCAACATCAGCCAACATCTCTTTAGGGCAACCATTTCGATGAATTTTGCAACCCTTAGAACCCTTAGACCATCAAATGCATGTATAGATGTGTGCGCATTTTGCGCCCAATGCAAGCAATTCCGATGACATTACGCTGACTTCATTTATTCTCGGGATGATTTCATTCTGCCTTTTGCATGGCCATTGTAACAAAATGTAGATAGAATTCGAACCCGATCCAAGCGCAGGACTGGTTTCAAACAACTCCTACTGTATCCAATCTGCCAACGGCTCGCACATAAACAAAGAAAGGCAAACACACACAGACACAGACACAGACACACACACACACGTGCAGCATTTTGAGTTCATCGTAGTTTTTTTTCTCCCCACGCACTTTAAAGCCTGAAAGACTGCGGCATTTTCTCACACTTTTCAAACATTTTCAAACTTATTGCGTGTCAAAACAATCATAGTGATCGGGTGCTTGAGTGATTTGACTGGGTGACTGTGATTGATTTGATTGAGCAACTGGACTGTAACGAAATTGAAGCAAGTAATTGAGTGAATGCCTGAGTGAATGTATGCATGCCCTTACGGAGGGTTTCTTTTTCAAATGTCTCTTGATCAGGTGTCAAAGTTGAAGACTGGGCTGTCCCAGACCCAGGTGGGCAAAAAAGCAGACGAAAAAGATCTTCAGGACTTGGTCCGGTACATGCTCATGGTTCCAGAGCGCCCAATAAGGATCTCAAACAAACACGTGTGACTCCGTGTGACTTTTCGGATGCTGTGCTAGGTACTCCCATTACGTTGCAAGACTATGCTGCTTTGCTTTGATCATTTCTTAATCTACAGGAGGCTGAAGACAATCTGGTGGCTGATAAGAAGGACTGCGAGAACTGACCAGGCCCAGGCCTTCTTTCCCCTGCAGGGTCCATCTCGAGTTGAGGAGCTTGACGACTTGGTCGTCGAATGTCGGAGGAAAAAGGACAATTATATGCATTGACCTCAGAAACCGTCCTACACGTTTCATCACTTTTCTAGTTTTATCGAGACTTTTCTGTGATTCCTGTGACAGTGGCAACTGGGGCGTTCTGGAAAAAAGCATGCCGGAGGTGTGGGATAGTTCAGTGCTGTAGTTGCGCGCACAGACACAAACGCACAACTGGAGTTACCAAGTTGCTTGATGGTACCTCACGAGAGCAGTAGTGCTATTTCATGCATTTCACAGATGCTCTGGATTCACATGAGCTGTTGATAATATGAACTGGATAGCTGGATAACTAGATTTTGCTCGGGGTTGGACATCCATCCAAAACGACGTGTGTACTGTATTTGCCACACGCAATATATACATATACACACTATACACACACATATATATATATATCATGCGGTGAACAGCTGCCATATCAATTGCTCATGTAAGGATGGAGAAGAAAAATCTGGCAGAAGAGCTTGAAGCTCTTGACACTGCTAAGGCCAGAGATCCAAAAAATGATAAACCTTGAGAACAACTGCAGGTGATGGAGTCGACTAATGTCGACTAAACGTTAACTTTGCGAGGCTGCCTTGGTGGAGAAGACCGGTGGCGATGAAGCTGTCTCTTTCTTGCAGGCTCAACCGGTTCAACCAGCTCAACCCACCACGGCTCTGACCCAATGTGACTTCTTGGGGCCGTTCTTGGCCAATCTCAGTTCGTTTGAGTTTGGAGCGCTCAACGTTCCCCCGGCACCAGGTGATTTCATCCAATGGCCACAAGCTTAGCATGCTTGGTCAAAAACCTTTGCACAGCTCTTTCGCAATCCGATGGGTGAACAGGCTTGTGTTCGACTTTAACCCTCTGCATTTTCACTGTGGCAGGTGCCCATGTGGATCAGACGGTCGTGACGACGCTCCAAGAAGCTGCAAAAAGGTGCGGTGATTTGAAGCCTTGGCACAACTTGGTCGCAACCTTCGAAACAGCGTCATTCCGAGCCATTCCAAATTCATCTAAATTCTACAGGACGAAGTCCACATCTTTGGCTCTCTTGTCCCGTCGGATTCGTAGTGTCATTCGTTGATGCCTTAGCCTCCAAGAAGTAAGAACCAGGCTCAGTGGTTTACTTCCCTTGGCCCTCGACCATGCTCAGGATCAGACTTGACATCTGGTGCTGACGCCTTCAAAAAGATTAAAACAATGATTTCAGACAGGCCCTCAGATGACACGCCCACTGCACCCATCTGCATGCGCATAAAGTGGCGCGAGTCGCATTGTCCCTGATTCACAGTGATTCACAGTGCGCTGAGGACATGATTGAAAATATGCAGGAGGAAATCCGTAAGGCTGCAGATAAGAAGGCTCTTGTTGCTTGAAAACCCCTCGATGATCTCGATGTGGACAGCGACTGCAGAGTTGATATCAACTTCCCAGACTGTCTTTCAGCAGGCCTATTGCGATGCTGAACTCGCAAAGGCTCCACTTTGATTTGTACCTTTTCAGCTGTAGACCTTTAATTTCCAAGTCTACTGGTACTAGTAGCAAGAATTACACAGCCACTGAAGTTTTGTCTCTACTCTCGTGATTTCTGCGCTTTGCTTTGCCTTGATCATGGCATGTGCAGGCAAAGGCCAAACAAGAGGGAAAGCAGGACGAATTGGAAGACTTGCAGACAAAGCTGCTCGGAATGCAAGGTGCTACATCCTCAAAACATTTTACATGTATACAATTACATATGTAATTACATAATATGTCATTACATGTATCATTATATAATTATCATTACATATATATTCTGTGTATATTCTAAAATGATCATGTAATGATCTTTAGGATCATTCACACCTCCCACTGCAAGGATTGACGCTGCTGGGTCAAAATCTGCAACGCTCAAGGCCCGGTCCCTTGTGCCACCTTTCCGTTGCACCGGTTTCCGTCTGTTTCAGGATCGTGCAAAAGAGTTCAGCACTGTGAGTGATGACAGTAAGTTTGTATAGTTTTGAGGTTAATTATTAACTATTTTATGACCGTTTCTTGCATCGACTGCGAATCTCGCGCACTTTACATATTTCTGCTTTGTCTTAGTAGAGTTGACCGAGACTTCCAAGTTTGAGATGCTGCTTGTGAGATGCCAGAGTGGTCAGAGCTATCATTTTGTAGGTAGAGGAGAAACAGGTGGAACGAACCTGTTTACAATTATCACATGTGTGTTCATCTATGCAGATGAATCGTATGAAATGTAATGTAATGTAATGGTATCGTATGGTTGGTATGGTATGGTATGGTATGGTATGGAATGGAATGGAATGGAATGGTATGTGTGTATGTTATGTATGTAATGTAATGTATGTAATGTAATGTATGTAATGTAATGTATGTAATGTAATGTAATGTAATGTAATGTATGTAATGTAATCAAATGTAATGTATTGTAATCTAATGTAATGTAATGTAATGTAATCTATATAATGTAATGTAATGTAATGTAATGTAATGTAATGTAATCTATATAATGTAATGTAATGTAATGTAATGTAATGTAATGTATGTAATGTACTGTATGTCATGTATGGTATGGTATGGTATGGTATGGTATGTAGTGTAGTGTAGTGTAATGTAGTGTAATGTAATGTAATGGAATGTAATGTAATGTAATGTATGTACTGCAATGTGATGTTATGATATGTTATGCTATGTTATTGTATGTATGTATGGTTATTGTATGTATGTACGGTTATTGTATGTATGGTATGGTATGGCATGGTATGGTATGTTATGGTATGTTATGGTATGGTATGGTATGGCATGGTATGTATGGCATGTATGGCATGTATGGCATGTATGGCATGTATGGCATGTATGGCATGCATGGCATGCATGGCATGCATGGCATACATGGCATGTATGGCATGTGAGGCATGTATGGCATGTATGGCATGTATGGCATGTATGGCATGTATGGCATGTATGGCATGTATGGCATGTACGGCATGTACGGCATGTATGGCATGTATGGCATGTATGGTATGTATGGTATGTATGGTATGGTATGGTACGGTACGGTATGGTATGGTATCATATGGTATGTATGGTATGTATGGTGAGTATGCAATGTTTGCAATGTATGCAATGTATGCAATGTCTGCAATGTATGCAATGTATGCAATGTATGGTATGGTATGGTATGGTATGGAATGGTATGGTATGGTATGGTACGGTATGATATGTATGGTAAGTATGGTATGTATTGGTATGTAATGGTATGTAATGGTATCTAATGGTATGTCATGGTATGCAATGGTATGTAATGGTATGGAATGGCATGTAATGGTATGTTTTGGTATGTTTTGGTATGTTATGGTATGTAATGGTATGTAATGGTATGTAATGGTATGTAATGGTATGTAATGGTATGTAGTGGTATGTAATGGTATGTAATGGTATGTAATGGTATGTAATTTTATGTAATGGTATGTAATGGTATGTAATGGTCTGCAATGGTCTGTAATGGTGAATAATGGTGTGTAATGGTGTGTAATGGTGTGTAATGGTGTGTAATGGTCTGTAAAAGTGTGTCATGGTATGTAATGGTATGTAATGGTATGTAATGGCATGTAATGGGATGTAATGGCATGTAATGGCATGTAATGGCAGGTAATGGCATGTAATTGCATGTAATGGCATGTAGTGGCATGTAATGGCATGTAATGGCATGTAATGGCATGTAATGGCATGTAATGGCATGTAATGGCATGTAATGGCATGTAATGGCATGTAATGGCAATGTAATGGCATGTAATGGCATGTAATGGCATGTAATGGTATGTATGTAATGGTATGTTATGTTTTGGTATGTTATGGTATGTAATGGTATGTAATGGTATGTAATGGTATGTAATGGTATGTATTGGTATGTATTGGTATGTAGGTATGTATTGGTATGTATTGGTATGTATGGTATGTATTGGTATGTATTGGTATGTATTGGTATGTATTGGTATGTATTGGTATGTATTGGTATGTATTGGTATGTATTGGTATGTATTGGTATGTATTGGTATGTATTGGTATGTATTGGTATGTATTGGTATGTATTGATATGTATTGGTATGTATTGGTATGTATGTAAGCTATTGGTATGTATGTAAGTTATTGGTATGTATGTAAGTTATTGGTATGTATGTAAGCTATTGGTATGTATGTAAGTTATTGGTATGTATGTAAGTTATTGGTATGTATGTAATGTATGTAATGTATGTAATGTATGTAATGTATGTAATGTATGTAATGTATGTAATGTATGTAAGTAATGTATGTAATGTATGTAATGTATGTAAATCATGTAATGTATGTAATGTATGTAATGTATGTATTGTATGTAATGTATGTAATGTATGTAATGTAATGTATGTAATGTATGTAATGTATGTAATGTATGTAATGTATGTAATGTAATGTAAGGTAAGGTAATTTAATTTAATGTAATGTAATGTAATCTAATGTATGTATACGTATTACCGTATAACTGATTATAAATGTTTATATTATGTAGATAGACATGTAAGGTATTTGCACATCCTTTCTACAAACATGCCTCACATAGAATGTCAAAGTGCATTAATGGTGGAGGGAACTTCCGCAAAAGGGTTGCAGTCAAAATCTGATCTACCTGGAGGCAGAGGCCTCTGAATTGCAAAAAGCTTTGACAATTCTGGCAGAAACGGAGGCTTGAAGAGTTCACGTGTAGTTCACATAGTTCACTTGCGAGTCAGTTTTGATTCAGTGAAGCTTTGGGTTTTGAGTACAAGATATACTGTACAAAATTAAGAACTCAAAAGCCAGGTCAACATGACCCAGCTGCGAGCAAAAGAGAAAGCACAGTTTCACCTCTGCAAGAAGACTGAACTGACGTTTTGCATGTCTTGCATCCACTATGTTTTGGAGCCGAGATCAGTTTGAATCTGGGGCCTTTCAGCGCGAATGTGCACAGTGTAAATCTTGTTTGGATTTCTTGTGAGCTTAGGTTTGAAAAGACAGTTCCGGAGGTGAAGGCCGATCATCGTGAATGACAACAAGAAGTGATTGATTTGCCGTTGCCGGGAAGAAGAACCAATGCGACACCAATGCGCATATTTGCGCGTTGTTACCATATTCTCTCATCGAACATTTATCATGACGAGTCATGAGGATTGGTATGCATACACTGGCATACACATTACTTAGCACGGTGATTATGATGAAGAGAGAGCATCTCTAGCATTCATCCCAAAGCCAGCTGGTGCTGCGCGCTGCGAAACCATCATGGAACATTGGGAAGCAGTTAAGTTTTTGACGATGTTAAGTTTATAAAAAAAGCTTGGCAAGTGCTTGCGCCATGCAGAGCATTCGTCACACATAGTGTGCAAGAAATCTGACTGTGCAAATACAACATGTATGCGCTGCTCTGTCGGGATTTGTAAGTAATTGTCTGGAGCACTACTGCTCATGGTCGAGTGCAAAGAGGTCACTTCTTTATTTATACTCCTTTACTTCTTTGCGATATTTTTTGTGTTTAGATCTTGTCAGGTGAATTTCAGGCTATATCGTGAAATGTGCGATAGAAACATACGTACCGCTGCAGCTGCAGCCCTCCACAAAACATGGCCTTGGCAAGCCTTGGTACAGAAGATGTTCAGTGAATGGTGAGTCATGAGTCATCAGCAATGAAATGTACAGTGGCGTGCTGTATTCTTTCCCAAACGAGCACACTATTTTTTTTTCAGGGCAATAGTAGGGTTTATTGCTCAGTACTCAGTATTTGCTTTGCTTTTGGCTATGTGTGTCGTCTTTCCCTGACAGCCTTCTTTCTAGATTCTAGACTTTTCATGATGAACATGTTCCAACACAACCATTGTTCATCATTCATGAGCCACTAGTCAGTAGTCCTGAAGTCTTGTGAAAAAAAGCTGGGCCTGTAGTCCTGTTTCTGAATTTGACTTCGAATGTGTTTGCGTGAGGAAAGCCTTGACGGCGTCAAAATGGCTTTGAAAGTTCTGCGTGAGTGCTTCACCTGCATTCAACTTGTTGCCTGGGATCCCGTCCTGAATCCTTATAATGCAATGGACTGGGCATCAGGTTCTATGGGGGCATGAAGACCAAACCG